TTAGCACAGTTCGACAGCCTGTGGGCGAGCGAGTGCAAGCCGGCGTGCTGGACAGCCCCACCCTTCCTCCCCTGGGAAACCATGTCTGCTATGTGTATTTTATTTGAGTTTTTATGTGTTATTATGTAATGATGGATTACCGGAAATAAGTCGAATTCTCAAATTACGTAAACAATTCAAAACTCAAAAATTGAGTAGTGATTTAGCTAAATACGCTGCGGACCCTGTTTTTGCCGATGTGGTCATTAAAGAATGTTTAGTGCACTTTTTTAGGGTCAACGTGCAGGACGGGGGTAAAAGCCAGAAGTGGAGGGACTTTGCAATGTCATAATAATCATCATGATGCTCTCTCTCTCTCTCTCTCTCTCTCTCTCTCTCTCAGAGTGTACTCATGTTGATAAAGCATCGTGGGTAATCCAATGTTGATTGATAATAAACTTGAATGAAGATGATAATGATTGAACAATACTAATTTGAAGACACCTTTTCCATGATGATGATTAAGATTCTCCCACACTCCGATTGAAGACAAAGATAACTGGAGACAATTAAAAACAATGGAATGAATGAATGAACGAATGGGCATCACACAGAGAGCCAAGAAGTGGCTATTGGTTCCATGTACCCTACCATTGCTTAGTTCTCATTCTGCTGCTGTCGGTTCTGGTGATGTGGGCCCACTTTCTCTTTGGAGGGGTCCCACATAGATCCAAGAATTGATTGATGGAATAAAGACACAGAGGCCCAGGCTTTGGCGTGGTCCCACATAGATCCAAGAGAAAGTGGGCCCACATCACCGGGCCCACAAGAATTGACTGATGGAATAAAGACCACTCCAGGCTTTGGAGTGGTGGAGTGGTCCCACATAGATCCAAGAATCAATTGATGGAATAAAGACAGAGATGGCAGGCACTGCCTGGGGCTAAAAAAATTGAAGTGACACCCTGGGCCTAAAAAAATTGAAGTGTCCAAAGGGTGACCTGTGCCATTGCCTTGCGTGCTGCTGCATCGCACACAGTCGATGCCTATCCGGTTGGCTCATAATTTCTGAGGTCGTGCAGCAAGCCAGCGCAAAGGGGCGTCAAAATTTTCAAGATGTACTGTGGGGACATCCAGTCTACCACACTACCCCACAGCCCCAACAAAAGGCCTCAAAAGAACACATGACAACCTGCAATGATTCAGGGGAGGAGAATTACAGCGACCGTGGTGGCCTAAAGCCCTGCGGCAGGTTCTTCTCAATACAGACCTTGCTTGGCAGAACTTACTTTCAATGACCGGACGTTCTGATAAGTAGCAGCTAGGCTGTTCTCAAAATTTTTATTTATTTATTTATTTATTTTTATTTTTATTTTTATTTTACAAAACCATTCTCACTATTTTTGTACATGTCCTGGACTTCTAAGCCATGAATAAAATACAAATGTGAGGAAGTACAAGTACACAATTGGTGAGCATACTAGCCATAAAGAGGAAGGGGTGGGGAAGGTACTGCCCGACTGTGAAGTACATCAGCAGATGTTATAATCAAATACATAAATGAGTTTTGGCTGGTACAAGGGGGTTGGGGGGGGGGGGGGGGGGGGGGCAAGCATGCCCCACCACATCTTTTCTCCAGTCTTTTGCAGCCACAAGAGCTATACTCGTTATACTCTAACTCGTATACATATTCCCGAAAGAAATGGGGATGGCGAAATTGGTTTGCGTACCACGTCGTTTGGGATGTGGCGACGCTTCGCACCTTGTGCTTGTGCGCTGGAGTCCCCCTAGCCACACACTCGAAACGAAGAGCATGACATGTCTCCTTCCCGTACATGCGGGCTAGGCCTGTACTTCTGTTTGCACAGCCCTGCGCAGTACATTGCCCTTGGGAAAGGGTACCCCAGGGGTAAAAGGGATATTTAATTTGCGCCCGCTTTGGCCATGCCTGGTTTTTCCCTGCTGCCCTCGCCTCCACCTGTCGGATCGACCGTCTTCCCCCGAATAGAACGAACAGTCATTACGTCTGCATATCTGGCCCACTTGTCAGTCCAGATCCAATGAAAATGACAGTACGTTCTATTCGGGCGAAGACGGAGCTTGCCTGGATATGCAGGCAGGTCACCCAGATGCTGAATGAAATTCACAAGGTCACAGCGATACAGCATCTCAACAAATCCACAAGCCACTCCACGCGGCAAGGAGAGATACAGGCAACACGCAGGGAAGTTCTACGGAAGGGGCGCTTCCATAGCAGGATAAACGGCGATGGACTAAGAAGATACTAAGCGTGCAAAAGCCCAATGGGCCATGACAAACTCCAGCACTAAGAGTAAGGAAGGGAGAGCCTGAGCTTGTTGCAAAGGTGTGACAAGAAAAAAAAAAAAAAAAAAAAAAAAAAAAAAAAAAAAAAAAAAAAAAGGTGTGACAGTCTGCCACCATGAACCCACCACAGTTTACCAGGCGCGATGCTCACACAACACGAAAGCACAGCTGTGCAGACAACACAACACGTCATCTACACCTCTGGCATCAATCCAAAGCACTACTATTGTCCCGCCGTCACCACCAGGGTGCACTTTCGGGCGATCCTGAATGTTCCATTCCAACCAATTGCAAACTTGGGACAAATGCGCGTTCACTGAGTGTATTGACAACAGAGAGACAAACGGGAAATCAGAGAGACAGATGGATGCATGGTGGACGGATGGGACAAACAGGCCAACAGACAGACAGACAGGAAAAAGCGACCAGGTGCAGCTGCCCTGCCCACCCAGCAATAGACCGGAGAATTGAGCGAAAAAAGAAGGAAAAAAAAAAGGGAGTGTGGAAATGAGGGACAGAATAAAGGGGATGGAGGGATAAGCAGAAGGGCAATCAGGAGTGACGGCAGGGCACATGGATGGACGGACCAGAGGATGGGGTGTATGGATACCGATAGACAGACAGACAGATAGACAGACAGACAGACAGACAGATAACCAGACAGACACAGAGTCGAAACGGATAGACAAATGGGGGAAAGGGATGGGCAGGAGGAGGGACAAACAGACGAAGAGAGGGAAAGATGTCGACTACATGCAGACTGGACGTGCGAGCAGTGGGATAGACGGTGGGAGTGGTGATGGGGGCGACGGAGGAAACCGATGAAAGGGAAGAGAGATAAATGGGTGGCGTGATGGATGAAGAGAGGGACGAAGGTATGGACGGACGGTTCAGTGGAACAACAGTAAGACAATCCAGGGACCATACAACAAGGGATAGAGAAGAAGATGAATACAGCGCAGAGGGCGCAATGGATGGACAGTTGAAGTGAGGGAGGGATTGAGGTCCAGTGAGAGAGGGATAGGGGTCCAGATCAATGTAGCACAGAGTGGGTGGACAGACAGAAATACACACGAACAGAGTGACAGCAGAAAGGATGAACGGATGGCTGAAGAGAGAGATATAGAGATGCACAGATGGAAGCACAGAAATAGAACTGGCCCAGAGACGAAGCCACAGACGTAGGAATGAAAGGCAGACAAACAGGTGGCCACACACACACCCACACACCCACACACACACACACACACACCCACACACACACACACACACACACACATGCATGGAGAGTCTGGAGAAAGACATGCAAATGTGCATGCGCAGATTTGCATGTGCACAAATGAACGGTTGCACATAAAACATCCACATACCTACGGATACATGCACATAATACATATGGAGTATTATGGACACATCGAAGCACAGATTCATAAAGGGATGAATGGGACACATACACATACACAACACACAGGCAGACCGCTGGGCAGGCACAGGGAGATCATACACAAAATTACAAATGCAAATAGGTGGCCATGCACATAACTGTGGATGCCCAGATGCAGAGATTCACACACGTAATTCAAGAACAAGGAGATGCCGTGACTCACAAACCCCCAGATCCACAGACTCACACGTGCGAGGGTGGAGTAAATCGTGGTGACATTCAGGAAGACAGCAGCAACGGAATTGAGGATAAGATAAACAAGTCCTTGAAGGTCCTTACGCGGCCGAACGACTGCATGTCAGGCGAGGTCAGCACACCCAATATCTTGTTTGCACACATATGGCTGCAGGACCATTTCTGTCGACACTTGAAAATTTGAAATACTAACTGCCTGCTTTTTTTCGAACCTTCCACAGCACCTGTAATTGGGCTGCCTTCTTCACCCGATTACAACGTACGGTCATTGTATCTGTATTTGGAGTACCTTTCAGTCTAAATACAGCTATAATGACCCTGTGTTGTACTTGGGTGAAGAACGTAGTCGTACCAAGAATGACCAGGGAGATCACCAGACTGATTAATGCACGAGAGACAGAAAGCAAGGCACAGGGTCCAGCAGGAGGCGGATGTCGCCAGGTAAAGGGAGACCTTGCTAGGCATGGCATGGAGGTTTGACCACATAGGTATATTTATTATTTATTATTTTCGTTGCATAAGACTGATTCGAGTACACACCCCTACTATGGCGGCGGCTTTGTCGACAATCTTTTTCAAATGTTTTTCAAATGTTCTTTTCTGAAGCTAAGGGGACACTGCAACATCAAGCAGTCACTGACCTGACCTGACCATACAGTTATTAATACTTGTTATATTTTAAAAATGAGAGTGTAGGACTTCTGATTTTGGTAGTGACATACTGCCATTGAAGGAGGAGATACTGCCACTCTTCGCTCGACTGTCTTCGAGCCGTCTCTTGGAAGTCAAACCCCCTTTCAAACCCATGTATATACCCCTCCTCACCCTTTCAAACGCATGTATTGTAGTGTACTACCTCTACAAGGCACTCTGGACATGGAACATTCAAATGTAATGCCCGGGTGTTCTATTCGAATATAACGACTGGGCATTTTATATTCTAAGGGGCGTTCTATTTGAGAAAAAGAGAGTAAAAAACGAGAATCTGATGTCTTCGGGTAAGTTTAATATAGCGCCCGGGCGTTGTTTTCCGGTGAAGACGGTAGCAAGACCACAGATCCCTACACAGCTTTCATTTATACCATCATCAAGGCGAAAAGCTAGAGAGTTCATCCACGGCAAGGACAATTCGACGGCAGCGAGAGAGAGGTGAAGGCCTTGCACTGTAATTGACCAACAAGGTTAACGAGATAACAACCTTATGAAGGATACATACAAATCGGCGGTCACGACAGAGTAATTAATAATTTAATACACAACTACAGTTGTCTTATGGGTTAAGTATGGAAGTATGGACATGGGGGGGTGAACTCCTCGTACGAACATCGCAACTTCTGCGGGTTTAATCCCGCAACACATCGCAAAACTCCTGTTGTCGCTCGCGGGTTAAGTGCGCGAACTTCTAAAGCGTAAATGCCAGAATTGCACGAAGACTCGTCGGAGATAGAGGACGTCAGTCGAAAACACAAGTGGCGTTGCGGCCAATCAATTTTTCATTTGTCTATAGATTTCTATCGACATAGCACGGCCGTGCATGGCTTTGCTGCTGGCACAATGCATATCTCAGACTGTCATTGCCCTGCCACACAGTGCCGACACAGATCCACACATGCCACCAGAGATGGGTATGAGAAGAGTGTGCTGTTCATACTTGAGGAAAGGGCTGCAGGACTCTGTGATTATAGTACAAGGAAAGGAAGTGGACAGACTACAAATTATGCAAGGACCCTACATCCACAGCAGTGCCAACAGGGTCACCAAAACAAAAGCAAGAAAAAGAAAACCACACCCCTTCACAGCAGAGATGTCACTTGCTTGGCAATCAAGCAAACAAATCATGAATGGATGCAATTGAGCAGACTTACTTCCTGCAACATCCTCCTCGCATTTCCGCCACTCCTCTTCAGTATACACCGCAGTTAATCATACACCACACAGAAGCTTCTTCCGTATACACCGCAAACCACCATGGTTGATCTGAGGACATTGTGTGCTAAATCTCCCTGAACTCGGTACACAATTAAGACCAGGTCCATCATACTTTGATACAGAAAAGCATGCAGAATGGTCACCACCTCAGTTCATACTCCAGACAATGTCCTGCCATTAGTACTCCAACCTCCCATTTCCTGCCATAGTGCCTGCACTGGTTTCTTGTGAAACAACCCCACACAATCTCCACACTCTCATTTCTCCAATACCCTCTACACAACCCTTTCTCACTTGTGGGAAACCACGCCTCGATAAGTCCCCTCCTCTGCATATCACTTCTTTCTTGCACAATGCAAACCTGTCAAGCATCCCCCTTTAAACCCCTTTTAAATACGGCGGCGAATATGGCAGCTAATAAAGCAGAACAACAATCAATGGCTGAAAGACAGCTTGCCTCCTAAGTTATCTCTCACCCACAATGGAGTGGCCTGTTCTTTCCCACACCACCTTTCCGCAATACGCCAATGAACAAATTGCACACAAAAGTACCAGACTCGTCCCCCAAACGCAGCCGCCAGATGCAAAATTTACCAAAGTCTGCAAGGAAAAAGAAGCACACACATGGCAGAGAGCAAAACATGCCCACACAGACTTTGAGTTAGTGATAAGGGGCCGTTCTGTCACCCACACTCCTGCTCTCACACATTATTTCTTAAAACACTGGTTCACATGAAGCCTAAGTTGGCGAAGCTCCTTCCAAGGTGAGCGATCCTCCAACTGGGACTTTTCATAGCGCCCTTCCGCCTTCACTACCGGCCCAGGCCTGAATCAAAAGAAGTTATTACCACGTATACTGGTGAGAACTCGACTTAGGCTCACGTGAACTGGTGGCTTCCTTCTCTCTCTCTCTCTCTCTCTCTCTCTCTCTCTCTCTCTCTCTCTCTCTCTCTCTCTCTCTCTCTCTCTGTGTGTGTGTGTTGTCAC